GGCCACTTCCCGGGGCCGCCCGGCCGGGGGGAGGGCGCGCAGAATAACCGCCGTCTTTAACCAGAAAACCACCTGCCACAGGAAACCTGTCATTGCCCTGGAAAGAAAAGACTCACTGCTTCCTGCTAGCAGCCGGGGAAACCAGCAGCCCGGTGGGGAGGAGGGGGAGACGCTTGAGTCAGAAGAAAAGAGAAACCGAGGCCTCAGAAGAACTGAGTTAATACTGTTATTAATGAGAATAACAACAAAGGGATTAATAACGATGCTCAGCCTTGTCTCAACGATCCTGCGAGCGTTGCAGCCTTTGCTACCTCTGCTGCTGCTGAAGTGCAGCCGGCTCCAGGCTGGAGCATCCCAGGCACCGGCCGACCATGGAGCCAGCAGCCTGGGCAGAACCAGAGGAGAGAGGCAGGATGCGGCGACAGGCTCTGCAAACTCAGCCAAGACAGCTAAAGCGGGACCCAGTGCTCTGAGGCCCTGGAAAGCTGCACCACCACCTTGGCAAAGCCAACCTATCCCCACTCCACTGCCACACTGACTTCTGACAGTGCCGCTCCCTGTGCACAGGTTGAAACACGCCCAGCAGTTACGGCCGCTGTCACAGGAGGAGCTCACACAGCAAACGAGCATCTCTCAGGCGTGACTAAATGCTCTGGAAATCATGACTGACGTCAAACTCAGGAGCTGATGGGAATCACCCCGGGTCCAGGAGCCCCAGCCTCCCCGTGACTCATTCCCCTCAAAACACAAGCTACAAAGTCCTGGGGCAGATGGAGCTGCTGGCTTCTTTCACGCTACCATAGCTCAAGCTGAGCCATGCTCTTCTGGGCAGAACCACATCAGAGAAGCAAAGTCTCTGATGCAGAGCCGACCAAAGGCAAGGAGCACTCAGGGAACAAGCTCAGGAACAGCAGGGGGTCACCGTCCTCCAGGAATTGGAAAAAGATTAGCAAAAGTTCACCAACCATCCTTTACTTGCCTCCCTGCATTTCTCCAGCTGCCTGCCAGGATCCTCTCTGTACCAAAGCGGGCTTAGCCCCCCTACTCCCATCCCAATGGGAAGGCAAGGAGCGTGTGCTGTCAATGCTAGCTGAGTTGTAGTAATCTCATAAGCAAGTGGTTTGTCATTTGCTCTAAGAAGAGCAGCCCAGTTCTTCTTGCTGTACAGCTGGGCAGGATTTTCCTGGGGAAGAATCAGAGCCCACGTCCCCCTCTGTGATTACCTTGGAGAGAGCACCAGCCCCAAGGATAGCATGTCTCTTCACCCCTCTCAGGCACAGTCGCCCAGAGCCATCGCTGCTGACAGTGGTAATGCAATCAGCCTAGAGCCATGTCAGCTCTAGAAGGATCATCAGCCACTGGGAAAAGAGTGGCATCTCTGCCTTAAACCCAGCGCCAACTATGGACTGAGTGCACTGTGTAAGCAGGAAGGTTCAGGACCAGCTTCTCAAGAATTCTTTCCAAAAATGGGCATCTGGGGGAATATGGAGACCACTAAGTCAAAGGATGGTTTTTCGAACATGAGCCCAACTACCAGTTTTCAAAGGGCAGCCAAGCTCAGCGCAAGGGTAAAGACGGTCTCTGCCCACTGCAGGCTGTGTGCTCTCCATCCTGCCCGCCAGTGGCCCAAAATATGTGGGACTGCACTTATCAAGGTGCAAAATGAAAAGGAGCCCAGCCCCTGTGCTCCGACACTGACCACACACTCCTGCTCAAACACACACAGCCAGAAGTGACCACCCCTCCTGAAAAACAGACGCCTGGTTCTTCACACCGGGAAGAGCCACAGGGCTGCCCTCAGTGCCACAGGAGGAGAGTGGGACAGCAGGGTGAAACCAAAGGAGGGAAAATCCGTGCTGAACAACAGAAAAAGCCTCCAGGTACTGTACAGTGTTCAGATGTAGAAAGGGATATAAGTTCTACCATGAAGACTTTTAAAAATAATAGAAAATTATGAATATTTATCTACACTGCCTAGCATCTCAGGGAACAGACCAGAGGAGATGGCCCACTCAGCTCCACATTGCACCATCGACAATACCAATGAATACAAAGCACTACCGTCTCAGAAAACCATCCTTGTGCGCTGTCACACCGCTGCGTAAGTGACGGCATGAAGCACAAACCCAGGGAGAGCCAGGCCGGGTTAGCCTGCGCTTTCAAAGAGCTGCTGACTGAGCCAGTCAGAAGAGGTTAGCAAAGGAAATCAGTAATGTCAGACTGAAAGATAAAGATGGATTCAAAACTAGCCGCAAAACTGAATGCTTCAGTGGCAGTAGCCATGGGCTGCGTGCTCTCACTGCGAGCGCTGACTCCTGCATCCTGCGCTGGCCTCACTTTTCCTGTCCTGCCTCAGCTGAGCATCTCCGTTCCGAGTCCCCAGGGGAAAAGCACGTTGTGCCCTGCGCGGGCCCCCAGCCCCGGGGATGGGGAAGGGTGGGAGTGCTCACCAAGTGCAGCGTGTCTGCTTTCTGGGTCTGCCTCAGGCGGCTCTTCTGGGCAGCGATGCGATTCTTCTCCCTCCTCTGGACTTTCCTCATGTCATCAGAAGAGTCCTAGGGAAACAAGGTATGGAAATGACTGGGGCATCCCCTCCCTTGCCCTGCTCCTGCAGGGCAGTAGGTGGGAAGGGGACACAGCAGATATCATCACCAAAGCACAGGATGCAGGATACACACCCTCAGCACCAGGATAAAGCTATACCCCAGGGATGTGTGACGCTTTTGGCACCCCCATTGCCAGGAGGGACAAGTCTGATACCCTTGGGCATCCTGGGACAGGCTGGGAAATGACAACTCGCCCTTCACCAAGACACATGCCTGGGATATGGCTTGAGGGACCAGAGTAAGGACCTCTCCAGAACAAAGACAATTTGAAATCCTAGTCCAGCAAACCTTCCCCATCTCTATGCAGGGATACGGCACTGCAGACATTCCAGCTCCTTGGCTAAAACATCTTTCCAGAGATTCAGCCTGTGTTTTCCTCCTTTCATCCCTCTAGGTCCCACCCCTTCTCCATCACTATTCTCCCTCCAGCTTTGTTTGTTGCAGACCCTCACAGTGCAATGTGGCCCCTACTATGTTTAACTAGACAGACTCAGAGCTTTCGGGTTTTCCCCAGATCTTATTTGCTCCAGCTCTGTGATCTCCGTTCTTGCTCTTTCCTGGAATCCCTTGGTAGCAATGCCTGCAATGCTGACTGCAGCACTCCCGAGCCCCTTGGGCAGCGGAGAGCACAGGTCTCCAGGCTCCAGGTCACGAGCTTCATGCAGCAGCTGTTCTCTGCTGAGATCTGGTCTTGCTGCTGCCTTCTGACAGTTGAAACCGTCACACAGACTCTTTCATCTTCTATTTTCATATTGCACTGCCTCTTTTGTGGACTCTCTAACATTCACACCACGGCTTCTCCGCAGGACTACAAAACTCAGCCACAAAAGTTATCTTCCCAGCCCATCAGTCTGTCCACATCCTCTCCCCCCTCCACCCCGCCCAAGATTTTGTCTTTTCTTTGAACTTAACCGTTTTATCCTTGCCTTCAATACCCTACAAATGTCTCGGCAGGTCCCACGTCCTGCACCCGTCCAGTCTCTATCCCTTGGCAACCCCTCTGCTTTATCCTCTTCTCTCCCAGGATGCCTCCCCATCCCCGGTTGCAAGCCCAAAATCAGCTGCCCGGATTATCCCCAAGATTTCTGAGCAAAGTCTCAGGTTCTTGCTGTTGTTGCCAGCCCTAGAGAAATGGCAAATGACAGATATAATAAAGTTTAGCTAGAAAAGGCAGTGGAAATACCTCAGACTTGTGTCAGTATCTGCCAGCAAAAGACCTAGTATTAAGGTACTGCGTGCAACAAAGCAAAATCGCTCTGTCAAGCGTTACTGAGACGAAAAACCTCTGAGGCTGAACAGAAAAGCAAGCGGACCCAAAGTGGCAGGGCTTTTCTGGGTTCGGAGTGCCATCCATGGCAGCAGGAAGCAGCCAGGCTGCCCGGAGCCATCCTGGTCCATGGCGAGGAGGTGCACACTCAGGCTCCTCACCAAGCACCAACTCTCACGCCTGCCCGGCGTGTATTGCAGGGCCGACCGTGCCTGGGGGTCCTGGCCCCCTGTTGCCCCCGGCACAGCCCCAGGTAACGGAGCCTCCTCTCTGCCTCAGTACCCAACTCGGTGGCTGGGGCTCCGGTCAGAGCTCTTGGATCAGCCCCTCATCCCTCTCCCCACAGCCGTTCCTAGAAAGCCCCGCCATACTGCGCTGTGAAAGCACCAGCGGTGGGTGCCACCCTTCCTCCTGCCCGCCCGTGGCCCACCCCGAAGGACCTTCTGGCCAAGGAGAGCAGGGGAAGGGTCCCCGCTTTACCTGCTTGCTGGGAGGGGGAGACTGGCTGAAGCTGCTGGAGTCGCTGCTGTCGGAACTGTGGGGCATGGCTCCTGTCTCTGGCTCCCAGGGCCTCTTCAGCTTCCTCCGTGCTCTTGGTGCGCCTGCCTTCTGTCTCACGTCCCGTCCCTCTCCCCGGCCCTCCTCTGTGACCCCCGAGATGGCCCTCAGCTTCACGGCCCTCGCCCGTTCCAGAGGCACGCTGTCCTCCTGCCCCGCGCTCTGCCACTTTCTCTGCCTCTGCTCTCGGAGCCTCTGCACCTTCCCTTTAGGTCTCGGCCTCCTGTGGTTTCTCAGAACCTTGGGGATGTAAGCTGAAAGTCACGTGGCCGGAAACTTTAAGGCGAAGAAGAAAAGTTACAGAAGAACTAAAAAGAAAAAAAGAAAAAAAGAAGAAAAAAAAAAGCACATCTGGGAAAAATGAGCTTCAAAATAGCCTGAAAAACCCCCGAAAAACACCTTCAGGCGGTTGAAAAACAGCGAGATGGGTTTTCTCTGAGACAAACAGCAGAGATGAAAGAAGAAAAGCCCCGGCTCCGCTGTGAAACCTGGACCCTCAAAGGAGGGCAGTGCGGAGGAGGTGCTGCCGGCAGCCCCAGAAATTCCAGGGGCACGCACGCCATGCCAGCCCTGCGCGGGCAGGAGGTCGGTCCAGCCCCGGGCCGGCTCCACACCCCAGCCCAGCCGGGGAAACTCCCAGGCAGCCACCCACCTCCTCACAGCCCAGCCATCCCCTCCCGCCGCCCCGCCGCTGACGCGGGTCCCGGGGAGGGGACGGGTACCCTCAGCAGGTGCCACGCGAACGCTGTTCGTGCAGATGGCTCGCGTGGGTACGATGAAGCACCAATCCCACCTAAGAAGGAAGGCTTGGGATCATAGAATATTTGGACTGGTTTTGGTAGGACTGGTGTTTTCCGTGAGGCAAAGCTCTTTAGCACTTTAAAACATTCCTCAGCACCTCAGCACTGGCCCGCAAGGGGAGTATCAACCCTGGCACACAAACTAAAGTGCTGTAAACATAATGGTCTGTGGACCCAGAAGCTCAACCTGAGACCTAATTCTCACTCCACGCCATGGTATGAGCTTGGCTGCACCCGAGGGGACATGCGGCTGTCATGCAGGGGTCCTGACTCCCTGCCTGCTCCCCTCTAGCCCCCTCTCACCACAGCCAGCAGTAGAAGATGTGGGACAGGACTATGGGGAGACAGGAGCACTGTGGCATGTCGCAGGTTGTTTCCTTTCTAAGCTCCTTCTACCAGTCCCCAACTTGGGCATGGCCCATGCAGGCGGCAGCAAAGAGAAGCTGCTTTGCATCTCCTTGCTTCTCCCCTGGTCTGTGCTGGGTGGGACTACTTCCGTCCTTCGTGCAAGCCTTGGTGGGCTGAAGACGTGCAAGCAGCCCCTGGGGCAGCTGTGTTTCTGCTGGGGTACCCCATGCTAGCGGCTCTGGAGGCGACAGTGCAGGAGCAGCAAGCGCCAAAGCAGGAGCCATTCACTTTATGATCTGCTCATGTCACCAGAGCCAGCGGGATGAGCTGGGACCGCGTGCCCACAGGCTCTCCATCCACAGACAGGAACACACGTCCTCGGAGTGGCAAATTTCTCGCATGTGCCCTGAGGAGCAGATACAGAAACTGGCATGAACCCATCCACACTAACCCACTCCTGTGGAAAGCAGCGACTCCCAGTTCCCACTTACTGATTTTTGTTGCATATTGGTGTTTTCGTTGAGTTTCTCCTGCCTCAGGCAGGAGCAGCGACCAAGTCTCAGCGGTGGGGCGTCATTAGGGCAAAAGTATTGGCAGCTTTGGGTTTGCAGCCTTGCTGCAGCTCAGAAAGCGCACGCGCAGAGAAGCACGGCCTTGGAGCACGGTGCAGACATCCATGGGCACTGCTGGCATTTCTTTCCAGCCCTGCCGCTCACGGAGCCAACACAGGGGCAAACACGGCCACAAGCAAGAACCGCGTGGGGCTGGTTACGGGCTGGGTGGCTCAGGGAACTCGCCTGGCCTAGCTCCAGTAGCAAAATTGCTCCATTTTGGCCCATTTCTTCAGAAACATCATGTGGCACTGGTGCACTACCCTTGGCCCTATTATCTGAACATTTCACAGCCTTGAGTGTATTTTTTCTCCTGGTGCCCTGCAGGGAAATGCTAGGATCCTCCACAGTTTGGAAGGTGGCTGTGACGGTTTTCTCGGCAGAGCCACCCTGAGACAGCCCATCTCCCCCCGGCACAGCCCCCCTGCAGCAGCCAGAGCTCCTCTGGCACAGCCAGCTCCGGGAATGGAATGGCTGAAGGCACCGGCAAGATGAGGGGCTCGTGGGGCGTTAAGTTCAGGCCTCCCAAGGCACCAGCTAGCGGCACAACTATCGAAGCGTCCATTCGCTGGCTGCACCGCTACGCTTCCTCTGAACCCTGCAACCCCGTGTGGCACTTCCTTTCCAGGAAGCACGCCGCTGGATTCCCGCTCTCCTGAGGAAACCCACACTCCTCTGCCGGCGAGCGGGTCTTGGAGCGCGCCTGGCCCGCCCTGCTCTGCAGGCTGCTGTTGCTCAGGGCAGGAGGCGGGGAGCTCCTTCCTCGGGGAAAAACATCCTTGTTTCATTACTGGGCGAATAGGCTGAATTCCCTCCTTTTGTATCTAGGGAGGCTGACGGGAGGTGGTCGGGAAGGCCATGGGTGCACTGGCAGGACACAGTACGGGGAAGCTGTGTGTCCTGGCAGGAGCTGGACGGTCAGCGCAAAACTGGCCAGGATGAGGCTATGGGGAAAGGCTCTTCTTTGATCTGCAAGAGAAAAGTTTTGAGCTGCCCTCAGGTTTGTCCAGAGCTGGGCTTTTACTGACAGCCGATGGAGAAATCTCAGGAGAGAGCAACGTCATGGGAGAGGGTTTGGACACTTGGTCCTGCTGAACAGCAGTTAGAAAGCATCCCTTTTCCTCCCTTGCCCAAACACCCTCAAGTTGGCTGCGATGCTGATGAAATCCTGTCACATGTGAGCAACGAAGAAGTGTGCTGTGAATGAGACAGTGTCTCCTGTCGGGAAGGTGAGCAGAGGCTTCACACCGCTCACTTGGGCTGGGCAGGACCCACGTTGCCTCCTCACAGGCAGTGCTCCATGCTGTTTACTCTGGGAAGAGCTGCGATCCCCCGACCCAGAGCAGCAGAAACCACCAGTGTGGCTCCACCAGCGCCTGCTCACAGCCCTCTGGGTACTGCCCAGGGCAGCTGCTGCAGGCACAACACGTGGAGTCAATACCCTGCTGTCCCTCCCCAGGCTCTCCCACTCCTCTGCTATCAGGGGCAGCCTCAGGAGCCATCCTCCTCATCTCTGTGCTTGATTTAGGTGACTAAATTTACACCACGAATAACATCCCCTGACTTTCTCTCTGGGATCATTTAGGTTTCTTGATCTTAATCACAGTAGCTGTGAAATCACTGTCAGCGGCACTGGATGAACTCGCAAGCGTTAGGTTACTGCCACACTGGCAGCTTGATGGAGCAGGGATATTTCCAGACGTTTTTAGGAAAAGGATGGGGCCATCCAGTTCTGCACTGGTCCCTTCTGAATACCAGCGGGCACTGCTGAAGGGAGTCCTGTTCTCTCTGGGACAAAGCGGCTGCAGGGACTCTGGAGGCTGAGCTTACTGCGATCTCAACTACCGGAGCAAGGGTTTGAAAGCAGCAAGATGCACTTCAGCAAGAACAAATGCAAATATAAAGCAAAGTGAGATGTAGGTAGAAGAACTGGGGAATAACCGACTGGGCAGCAGAATGGCAGGGAAAAATCTGGGGGTTGCAGAGCAGCATAAACCGAAGCTTCGCCAGCAATGCGGAGGTGTCGCAAAGGGGCTGGGTATCGGCCGGGGGTGCTGGGTGCAAGGCAGAGGAGACAACTGCCCTGCGCTGCCTGCCCAAGGCCAGGACCCATCCAGGGTCCCAGGTCCAGAAGTGGAAAAGTCCAAAAGAAAACAATACAAAGGATAAATACACATAAGTCTTGTGCTAAGAGAAAGGAGTGAAGAAGCTGGGTCCATTTAGCCCAGAAGAGAGAAGTCTTGGGGGCGGGAAGTGGGTGGGGAGGAAGGAGCCGTCTTTGGGGAAGGAGTGTTCAGTTGTTTTCGGTGCAGCCAATGCATGGGGCAAGAAGCACCAGGCTCCCACTGCAGCAGGTGAGGTTCAGGTCTGAGGGTCGAAGCAAGAGGAGGTTCAGAAGACCTTGGGCTGCGCAGTTCAGGAAAGCTGTTCAAGCCCCTTCATATGAAGTGACTGGGAACAAACCTCCATTGGAAAGGGTTCAGGTTGAATCCTGCTTCTGTAGGATGGGTTTGAGTTATGTTCCCAGGATTTAAATAAGGAAAAACAAAACAAAACAAAAAAATGGCTACTAAGATGGGCTCCTCGGAGCCCAGAGAGCATGTGGGGCATTTCTCAGCCTTAACTGCAGCCAGTCCTGTTGCCTCCAAAGCCCAGGAAGGTCCCTACGTCCCACTTGTGCAAATGGCTTCCTCAGCACCAGCGGTTGCTAGAGTTTCTTTGTAAACCTGCTGCTCCAGCCCTCTCACCTGCTGCAGGCTTATGGCAGCAAAGTTCAAAACTGCATCTGACCCCATCCATCTCATCGTCTTGTCTGCATGACCATTCACTGCGTAGTGCTATTTAAAAATCCAGCCTAGAGCAACTACCAACTTCAGCCTCCTGTAAACCACCAAGGTCGTCTCTGCTTCACATGTTGCATTTTATGCAAAGAATTTCTTACAACGTTTTGACAATTGCAACAATTTGCTTTTTATTCCCCACATGAGTTTGAAGACTTTTGTGTGGGATTCAGTGCTGATAGTAAGAGATGTTGTGAGTGGGGCTGTTGAACAAAGTCCTTGCTCTCTACCAGACAAGCCTCTGCCGTGTCCTGCTCTGTCAGCACGTGTTGGTCCCATCTGTGACATGGGCAGCTTCCCCAGCTGGCATTGTGTCTTGTCCCCATCACCAGGGCTATTTCATCTCGGCTGAGCCAAGTGAGCATGAGAGCAAGGTTGTGGCAAGAGAG